GCACGTTAAGCTTGAAAACATCTGCCTTGTTTTCACCGCATCCCAGCAGAGAGCTGCAGCTGGAGGTACCTCCAGGCACCTCCTGGCTGGGCACGCTGCTCCCCTGCGCTGGGTGGCCGGGTGGAGCCACATCTTGGGGCATCCACATCTTGGGACATCAGATGCTGGGTGGCAGGAAGCCTCCAGGGAATATTGGGGGTATTGAGACAGCCTCACATGTCATGGAGAAGCTGGGCAGGTCTGATTTAGCTAACGGGACAAGAGAGCTTGAGGGATGCTGTCTCCAGATATTTAGTGAGTGACACGCCAATATTTCTTTAGTTGCTCAACCTGCTGTACGTTTCCAGGCTTTCATCACCCTGCCAGCCTTCTGCTTGAACCAGCAAGGGTAAACCTTGGTATTTCTAATAAAAACCCAAATAGCTCGAGAAATTTTTGAGCTTTCTTCCATCCTAATGCAGAAAACCTTTTCTCCTGATAAAAAAGGTACCAGGGTGCTGCAGGTCCACCTGTGGGACAGCTCCAAGGCAGCACCAAGAGCTCCAAGCTTTGGGATTGAAGAGGAGGTGGAAATGCACCGTGATCTGAATAACCTCAGATGTGTGCCAGCCACGCTGGCTCTGCCAGGTCTCTGCTGCTAGACCTGGTCTTTTGGAGGTGTTTAGCATCACCTGGTTTAGAGACAGCGAATCTGCGTGTCCAGGAGAGAGTGGGGCTCTTGCAGGGGGTGGCTGCAGCCCCTATGGAGACGCCCCATCTCTCCCCACCATGTGAAGGGACCTGGGTGATGAACCTGGGTGGTTAGGCTTCTAATTATGCTTTGTTGGGCTGATGAAGAGAAGCTTTAGATTACGGTGAGAAGTAGGACAGGAGAGCTGCCTGAGAGAGGTGGTAACAGGAGAGCTTGGGGGAGGGACATGAGTTTAGGTATGAAATCGCTGCTTCTTCAGCCCAGTCCTTGGAGGATTTCACTCCCTCTGGAACCAGCGATGGCTTGCGACAAATGTTTTCAGTTTTCTTCCTTTCAGCTTGGACAAAAGGACAAAATCCTTGTGACTTAGATTCTCCCCAAGGCCGGAGCTGCAAACAAGCACAGGTTGTGATGCTGCTCGTAGCAGCTCCCTCCCAGGGCTGCAGGCGACTGTCTCCTAGGGCCTGGCACATCCTTCAACGCGCTGCAGGAGCATCAGGCCAAGTGACAATCCCAGCAAGCCTCTCATCGCAGTGCACTGAGAGGAGCAATAAAACACAGCGTCTCCCCCTCAAAAATGCCTTACAATAGATGATTTGGTCACAGCCCGGGCAGGGAAAATAAGATCCTCCTGCTTAAACAGGCTGTTTTATGACAACTGCTGTGCATCAGCGATGGCTGGGGGGCAGAGGCAGTCACGAACGGATCCATGAGCTTTTGGGGGTCCCCAAATAACATGGAGCTGGGGGCAGCCCTTGGCGAGGCAGCGAGCCCAGGAAGCCGTGACTCTCCCTGTAGGTCGGGCTGTTTCATTTTCACCCACGGCAGGATGGCAGCGTCCTCGGTGTCCACTTCACCCTCCAGCCTGGCAGCATGGAGCCCACCTCACCTTTCTGGCTGTGAGAAACAGCAAAGTGGGTTAATGCAGCCACAGATTTCCCTTAGTTGTTTGCTGGTGCTGGAAGGGCAATTGAACAAACGAGCTGTGGAGAGTGGGGAACACTGTAAAATCCCGGAGCAAACGGCACCATTTGGCATTGCTCGGCCGCACACCCCAGGGAAAGAGAGTGATGTTCCTTATCCTGCAACGCCCCATAAATCTGACGCCACCTCTGCACGGGGGCAGATGCGGACGGTGGGACACTGTGGGCAATTTCTCCCCGGGACGAGGGGGTAAGCCCTGCCAAAAGGCTCCTGTGGCAATAGGCGGCTGCAGCTGCGGGCTCCCTGCCAGCAGCTGCGCCCAGAGCAGGACCTGGAGGCCAATCTCGCAGCCAAGACAGCGCCATTCATCGGCACTCAATAAACAAAAGTGCCTTGCTGTTTTATTCAGGAGATAAGGGCGCAGGGCATGAGACTGCTTTCCCCCGCGCTCTCTACGCTGAGCGTGGGAGCCTGCAGTGGCTGCCAAAGGAGCCCGGGCCCTGCTGCTGCGGGACACGCCGCAGGCAGGCACGCAGGAACGGGGTCACTTACAAAGGGAAGAAAATTCTACTTTTATGCCTTTTTGACCATCAATGATGGAAGCCTGAAAGCTTTATGCTTGTTTTTTTTTTTTTTTTTCAGAGACCAACATTGCCAAGTCTTGATTTCCCTGCTTTTGCTAGAGAAAAGTGGCTGGACAGTTTGCTGGTGGGAACTGAGGAACGCTTGTGTGCCTTGAGCATCAGAGACTTTCCTCCCGCTACTTGCTAGGTGTTTGAATCAAACAGGTACTAAGAAGATGTTTGCAGCCTCCTTCCGAGGAGCAATGGCCAGAGGGGACAGACAGACCATGTATGCTGGTTCACCTGCGTGGTCTTGCACCCTTGAGCTCTTGGGGATGCAGAGCAAGGCTCGGGGTAGAGCTGTCCCCTTCGCACCCCCCCTTCACTCCCTAGCTCCCCTATCACCTCTGTGCCGTTACCTGTTACCTTTGACAACCCAACCCCTGGTCCCAGTGGAGAACAAGATCAGGCTTGCTTGAGATTGATTTTTCTAGAGAACAATGTTGACCAGTTCTAATCATGTTACTGCCTCTTCAGTCTTTATCAGTTAAACAGTCTACCAGCGCTCTGATAATCACATCCAGGATGGCCACTGGGCCAACTGAGCTGTGACCAAGCTCACCCAGTTTGGCTTTTTTAAGCGCTTGGGGATTTCACCAGCACTCCACAATTTATTAAAACAGAAAGCAATGCAAATGGGGAAGGAAGCTGAAAAACATGACCTCGTGAAAGCCTTTCTTTGCCAGCAGACTGAGCGTGACCTGTGTCCTTGGCAGGGCTAAACCAGCCCACAGCCTCTGTGGCAGCCAGGCTGAAAGCAGCGCAGGATTTTGAGACTCATGCAGGGGGAGCTTTGTGACAAGCCCAGAACAAACCTAGTACAATGCTCCCACGTGTGCTGTGATGATGACGATGTTGCTTCATACAGGAGGTCCTGAGCTCTGCCCTTCACCTTGAATCAGATGCAAACATTGCTGCTTTTGAAGCTCCACTTTGTACCAAATGATTTTAAATCTCTTGTGTCTGTCACAAGAGAAAAATTATGTCTGAGAGCAGAGGAAACCTTGACAACCTGGCACTTGCTGAATGTGAACTTTCTTCCTTTCCTTTTTTTTCTCCCCTCTCTTAAAGACTGCCGGAAGAAACAGGTCCTTTGCACCATGCACGTTACAAAGAGCAGTTGTTTTTATGCAGCAGAGCCAAAAATAAAAACGGGTGATTGCAGTCCTCTTAAAACTCAGCGCAAAGCTGGACAGCATTAACTTTTTCTTTGCCAGGGGACGGTACTGTCTTACCAGAACATCTATGGGATGGCACATTATGATAAATGGTAAAATCTACCCCACTCAATCCACACCAAGTTCATTTCAGCTTTTGTCTGAGTTGGTACAGCACAGTGAAACCCACCAAAGCCTTTGCAAAACAGGGCAGAGCGGGGATCCACCACCACCGAGGAAGGGGGTAGGAAAGAGCTTTGCAGCTGAAGGGGTGACAGCAGCTCCCCCGCACTCTGTTTCCCTGTTCCCCAAACTGGAGGAGCCCTGTGCCAGTGCCCACCAGTGCTTTTCCAAGGACGCGGTAGAGACAAGGCTGTAGGGTTGGACAGACTATGCCAGTGGCTCCCTGCCCACAGCACTTGCATTTTGCTCCTGTGATGGATGTCCGTCCAATGCACACCCCAAAAATGGCCGTGGTGCAAAAATCCCCTGTTGTGGAGTGAGCTTCACCACCTCCCATGCTGTATCGTCTCATGTGTTGAGCCCAGGTTGTAAAGTGCACAAGCTGCTCCCGTTTTCACCCACTCCCGACTCACCAGCATTGGCTTCGGATGCTTCACCGACCTCTGGTTTATGTCATCTTCTCACCTTGGGCTACAGGTCCGCGGCTGTGACAAGCAGCAACTCTCGTTTTCAGCGGCGTGCACAACTCCGGTGTTTCTGGGCTGTTCACCACGACCCCACACAATTATTACTTCCCCCGTGCGCGCGGTGCCCTCGTTAGCCCGATGCACTCTCCCATCCTTGTAGCTGCTCTTCCCTTACCGTCTCCGACCCGTTGCAGGGGCTGTGTATTTGTGCTCTGGTGCAGAGCGGGTACCCCCCGCTCGCTGCGCCTGTTCTCACGCAGCGCCCGGTGAGGGACGCCCTGACAGACGCCTCCCCCCCCCGCAGACCTTTCCCTCTCTCCTTGGTGGGCCTCATCCCAAGGCGCACAGAGATCCGGCTGGCTACTGCTATCCTCACTTTCTTGCTCAAGTTTCCACAGCCCACTGAAATGGTCTCCGTGGATGATTTTTGTGCGGGGACTCAGGTCTCGTTATGCTCCTGAAACCACGACAGGGCCTATTGAACCCCCCAAAAAAGATGCCCGCCTGCAGCCTGGAGGCTTTGCAGCGGGGCAGCACGGCTTGGTCTTTATCTTGAAGGGTCTTTATTTGGCAGGGAATAACAGATTTTTTTTTTTTTTTTTTCCCGCCCCCATTTTCCACTTGTCCCGTTGTTCCACCCGCGTGCCGCCCCCCCTCAGGTGGCTGCAAGATGGCTGACGTGCCGGGCGGGGTGAGGGAGGGCGCGCGCGGTGGGAGCGGAGGGCAGTGCCGCGGGCAGGGCTCCGGGCGGAGCGGGACACCCCCCCCCCCCCGGGGCCCCCCCCGACCGGGGACGCCGCGCCCCGGGAGCGGCCGCGGCCAGGCCCGGCCGCCCCGGCCCGCGTTGCCATGGCGACGCGGCGGCCGCCCCGGCGGGGAGGGCCCGGCGGCGGCGGGTTTTCCTGCGGCGGGCGCGGCCGGAGGAGGCAGAGCTGAGCCGAGCCGAGCCGAGCCGGGCCCCGCCGCGCCGCGCCGCGCCGAGCAGCTCCGCGCCCCACCGGCCTCCGGCCCCGGCGGGACCCGCCGCCTCTCCGGAACGGTGAGTGCGGGCGCGGCCGCTCCCCGCGCCTCGGGAGGCGGCGGCGGGGGGTGCCGGCACGTCTCCTGTGCCGGGCGGCGGGTCTCCTCCCGCGGCCGGGCCCTTGCCGCACCGGCCCCTTACCTCAGCGGTGTGCCGGGTCCCCTTCCCTCACCCCTGGCCCCTGAGGGGGTGGGCGGCCCCGCGCCCCGGCCTCCCGCGCACCCCCTTCGCCCCGGGGGCTGTAAAGCCCTCTCAGCCCTCCCACCTGCTCCCCTCACCCTTCATCCCTGGGGGTCCCTCAGATTTGGGCCCGGGGGGTGCAGGCGCCCGTGCATCAAAGCCGAGCCCCGGGGGAGATGGTCCCGTGGTGCTGGGGGTTCCCGTGCCGGGATTTGGGGGTTGTAGCGGCCTCAACCCTTCCTCTCCCTGCCCGCCCCTGGGAGATTGCGGGTGACACACGTGCGGTGTCAGCCGTGCCCTTCAGTGCCCCGGAGCCGCCGCTTTTTATAGCGAAAGCGATTTGCACGTTTCTGCAGGGCTTCTGATTTCTGGGGTAATTTGTAGGACTAGCCCCTGGTTGCAGAGCGGGGTCCTGCTTCCAAGCCTTCCCAAGCACCTTCCAGGCTCTCCTAAGCCAGATCTGCACCTTTTTGAGGTAGGTCAAGGTTATTGTGCTCTTCTTCCTGTGGATGGGGAACATGGAAGTGTGGATAGGCTGTGGGGTTTCCTCAAGGTCACGCTGGGCATTGAACCCCGAGCATCCTCTCTCTCTGCTGGCCTTCTGCTGGGTGAGGGCATAGTCATGGAAATCAGATTTTCCAGTGCCCTAGGCCTCTCTCTTACACAGCTTTTTGGCTTTTAGTTTCTATACCTTGCCAGGATGTCAGAGTAATGTCAGAGCAGGATCCCAGGTATATTTATCTGGCCTGATATCTTTCAGATACTGGGTTTTCACAGTTAAAGACTGGGTGTTTTTAGCGTAGTGCATTCATTTCCAAGAGCCTCACTGCCGTTAGGATCTGACCTCTTGTGGCATGGCTGCTGCTGCTGGGATTGTATCAGCATGATTTTTGATCACTGCAAGTCACTGTGGCTTTGCCTCCCAAGAACTCGCTTCTTGGCAAGGGCAAGCAAAAGGCAATCAAACTAGAGTGGTGCTCGGCTGATAACGATATATCGTGTGGGACTCATGGTCGTTGTCTTCCTGTCCTCAGCTTGTGTTTTACTTTCCAAGCTGTTACAAATAAAGGTATAGATGAGGTCTAATAGGAGGAGTTACTCTAACCCCTTCACCAGAAAATAAACACGAGTATTTAATGAGGACTTACTCCTTTGAATGTCTTGCCTGTCAGATTTTTAACTGTGTGCTACTACTTCTTGTCGTTCACACGGATACAGTTTTTCTCCTGGTGCTGTGCCCTTGGGCTCATTTGTTCACTGAGCGCTCATCGTAGTAGGAGGCATTACGTTTTGAGTGTGATGGTGAGCAGTGGCAGAGATGGATGACCAAGTTGGAACAGGGAGCAAATCCGTGTTGTAAATTGGAGCCCGGCACTGCTCTGAAAGAAAGTCTGCAGTCTTGTTTGATGTCCAGCAATCTTGTTAATGCATTACTAAGATGCCAGGGCCCCCGAAGATCCTCCTGCTGCTGTTTTAAGAAGGGGTAGTGTGTTGTATTAAGTTACTAGGAGGTAGAAATCACTGACAGCCTGTCAGGGCCGTTTGCTCCCCTTTTTGTGCCAAGATTTAGATTAGTGGGCAAGACGGGGGAATATCTACCTGGCTGGCCGAGGTGACAGCAGCGCATACATGTGGAAACAGCCTCTCTGCTCACTTGTACATCGCGTTTTGTATTGTAAGTCTCTAGCAGGGCAAAGGTGTGATGGAGAGAAGGGACCTGAGATGCAGTGCCTGAGGTTTGGTGTGCCTGGAAGCCCGAGAGCCCTAAGGATTTGGAGCTGTTACAATGGGGAAAGTCTCACTTAGGAGCTGTAAGCATTTCATGTGCCCATACAGTTGTTCTTTTGTAACTGTTGTCATGCTGGGAATTGTGAAATAATAGGAGGGAGAGATTTTCTGGAGTAGGGTAGCAGTGTTTTTAGGTGGGAAAATGTTGTGCTGTGTTTAGCTAGAGTAAAATGTATCTAGATCCAGCATCCTTGACTGGTGGCCCAGTTTTGCAGATTCCCTTAAGAAGGGCTTTTCTGTGAGGGGTAAAGCCCTACCTAGGGAACACTCTTGTTGCAGGAGATGACTGTGCAGTGCTGTGAAAACAGTTTATTGTCCCTGGTACTCTGGGTTTTATCTGAATAATCTGCAGCCAGGAGGCTGTAAGAGGAGTGACTGATGAGTTGTTCTTTTTCCCTCAGCAAGGAGCACCAAGGTGTGGTGTAGGGTTGTGTGGTTTCCATCTCCGGTCCCCCAAAGGGCTGGGCTTTGGGTTTGCTGCTGGGCCTGGGATTACTTGTTTTACAGATGTTGGTGAAGCTCTGGATTCTTTCGCCTCACTTTGGAAATAAAACACTCCTGGAGGGCAATTGCCAAAGTCACAGTAGCTGCTGGAAAGTGGTATGTCCTTGTGAAATTTGGGAGGTGAAAGGCTTGTTTGGTGAGAAGAAAAGTTTAGCAGCATTGAACGTAGCCGTGGAGGGACTTGTGTCCCTTGGTGCGGTCCTGCAGCATGCCTGCCTTGTTCCAGCGCAATGCTTTCTTTTGTCACTTGATCCCTGGGCTCACTTGGGGGCAGGGAACTGCAAAGGTCTTGCACTGCCAACTTTCTCATGCCAGCAAGATGCCCTGCGTAGGGAGTATCTCTTAATGGGCTGTTTCTATCTGCCTAAATTCCTATTGTGCTGCCAGAATGACATAAAAGAGCTTTGAAATAGGCCCTGAGGGAGAAGGAAAAGGGTGGGAAAATACAAAATATTTTTGTTCTGTTGTTAGGAGATCCTGCGCTGGGGGGATGATGTGTCACCAAACTGGGTTTGGAATGGCTGGGGCAAATGAGTTTCCTTGTGATCCTGAGTGTTGCTGTTCAGGTGTATTCTGGTAGGATGCTAATGTCCTATGGAGGGTGTTTCTAGAGTTTACCCTTCTCTAGGGTGTTTCAGAACAGAGACATTTATCCTAAGCCTGTCCTTTTCCTGGCTGACTTTTTTCAGTGTTGTGTTTGTCTTTTTTCCCCTCCCCCCCCCCCCATTGTTTTTTTGTTTAGTTGGGTTTTTTTTGCTTTGTTTTTCCCCAAAATGAAGTTTCTACACAGCTGCTGGCAGGTCAGTGGTGTCCCAGAGCTGTGCACCTTGACTGCAGTAAGTTGATGTAGCTCTGGCAGAGGCGGCGGAGCAGATTTAGTTTGCACCAGCTGAGGTTGGGCCATCATGTGGGAGCCCTCAAACAACAGGGAGAGCCTGGACACCCAGCCTCTTCAACCTGTCACTTAGAAGTTTATTAATGTCCTGCTAGGCTTCCAGTTGGTCACGCTTATCTTCCAGCTGCCTCTGCTCCTCTGTTTAAATCTGCAATACTGCGTAAGCACAAGTGCCTGCGCTGCTCCTTCAACAGCAGTGGTGCAGGATGGGGAAGGATCTGCCCAGTCATAGCATCCTGCCTTCTGCTACTGCAGGTACATAAGCACTGGTTATTACTCCTTTTACATCTGTGTACGTGTTCACCTAAATCCTTAACCATGTCTTCAGGAAATGCAAAAGCCTTCTTTGATGCCCATGTTTGCACATTTGAGCTTTCTTAGAAATACCCAAACATCTGCGCTGCCAGAAAGTAAAGGGAGTTGGAATCAACTACTTATCATGGCAAACGAGCTACGGATGCTGCCTGTGTGAGCCAGTGCCTCCGTTTTTATTTTTTTACTCTTGAACATATCATACACGTTGCGATTATTTCATTGTGTATTTCTCATAAATGGCTGCATGGACTCTAGCCTTGCTGGAGCTAGTTGCCTTGCCTGCCCGCTGTGAGACAGCGGGATGTGACTGCAAGTCCCTCTTCTTCTCCCCTGCTGAGCCGGTGCCTGAGGTCTGACAGGACAGTGTGTTTCAGTTTCCCTGCCGACGTGACTTTATGAAGCTGTCCTGCAAAGCTGAGTCCTCTGGCCTGTGCCTGAGTGGAGTGGGGACTGTCATTTGGCCATCTCCAGCTAAGAGCACAGCGAGTTGCTAGAGCTAGCGCTGTGTTGCTCCAGCCAGTCCGAACAGCAGACAAATAATTCCTTCCCGTCCTCCTCTGTTTGCCTTCCAGCGCGTAGACGGTGGAAGGGAGGAGATGGATTGAGCTGTCCAGTGCAAAACTGGGTGTTGCTTTAACCTTACAGTATTGACTGCTGGGTAGTTCCAGTTGTGAAAATAAATTAACAGGGGGTACAAAAGCTTTAGAAAACAAGGCAAGACTCCAGACAAGCCCAATTAAAAGTCCTTGTCACTCTGAGTGGTTTGGATTTCTGTCTGGCAGTTTCCTCTTACACATCTGCAAATATAAAAACTTTGAATACTTGCTGCCTTAGGAGGGCTGCCCACATGGAGACTGTTTTATTGGGGAAGGGAAAGGCACCTGGACAGCAATGTTCTGTGTCAGAAGAAATGTGATGGGATACTGTTTATTTCATTTGTTTGGTCTCTGTTGATCTTGACGTAATACAGCCTGTGGTGAGCTGCTCACAGGAATGCAGTTTTATGTTTGTTTTGTTAAACCTTTTCATAACTGGTTCTTGTTCCTGTTTTGGTGGTGCTGTTGTAGGTGGGTGGCTATGCCTTGTCAAACCTCCCTGTGCCCTGCTCCTTCCTTTGGTGTTGATGCTGGTGTGTGGCTTATCAGGAGAGCTGTCTGGATTTGTTTTCTTTCCTGGATCTGCGGCATTTATCCAGAGGCCAGGAGGGGAGAGAGATGTTTTGATCCAGCTGAGTTGCGCAGAATAGCATGAATTTGAGTAGCTGGAGATGACTGAAGTCCCATCACAGGGCTGTGCCTGCCCCACCTCGAGTTGGGCTCCGTGGTTGGGGCTCAATTTAAATGCTGTCCCAGCTGTGAGGAGCTTCGTGGACAGAGTGGGGAGAAGGAAAACTTCCCCTCTTACACAGGACAGTGGTGCTGCTACACTGTGTGACTAACTGTCTTGGAGGGGGCCTTTGGGAAGAGAGAATCTGTGTGCTTTTCTTTTTTAATTAGAGAACAAAGATATGGGACGTTCAGCAAGTCATTTTAGTAAGAGAGAGGTGCTGTGCGGGTGAGCTCTTAGTTTGGATCAAGCCAGAAGCCAGTCCAGTAGCTGTTATCCGTCATTTCTGAATTCAGCTGCAGCTTCTGGTGAATCCCTTTTGCTTCAGCAAGGGGCTGTGCTGTCTGATGTGAAAGCTTCTAGCCAGGGCAAGCACTGGCTTTGTGTGGATAAACGTGTGGAAGGAGGTGGTGGCTGTCATTTCTGTTGCTGCTCAGTACTGTGTCCTTGTCACTGTGGTGTCTGACCCCTTGCTGCCTTTAATGGGCCTGCTGCCCGTGCGCCTTGGCAGAGGAGACAAGGGCAGTTCCCGGTTGCCTGCTGGGTAGGCTGGGATGGAAACACCTTCTGCAAGGCCACATGCAGACTGGGAACTTGTTTGGTGCCCTGTTCAGTGCTGTGTTCTTTGCTCTGTTAGGGATTTATTT